TACATGCACTTAAAGTTCTACGGCGTGTCTGCGTTGCTCCCAAATCCGTAGGATTCCGTACGGAGGCGATACTCACCACGCACGGATGCCCTACTTTTGCCCACGTTTTTGCACGTAGACGGCACGCAGAAGCACGTACGGCGGGTTGTGACCGTAGCATTAGGTAGATGGTTTGTAGGTTGTATTTCTGTGGGCACCTCGATAAATTTTTGTCAAAGGAATGACCTTTTGAAATTTAATAATAGGCTTCAAACACGAGCGCTTCATTTCTTCATTGTTGAGAATAAATAAATGAAAACAAACTAACCTTTATACCCTGTGTCACCCGTACTCGCACGTATGAATGGTGAATCCGCAGACCGCACGTAGAAAAAGTTTTACATGCACTTTAAGTTCTACGTCGTGTCTGCGTGCTCCCAAATCCGTAGGATTCCGCACGGAGGTGGTGCTCACCACTTGCGGATCCCCTACGTTTACCCACGTTTTTGCACGTAGACAGCACGCAGATGCACGTATGGCGGGTTGTGACCAAGGCTTTACCTTCTCAAAGTCAATTCGAGGCTAGCTGAAGCTTAGATGCGTACATTATCAGTTTGCCATGTATCGTCGAGAATCCCTATGAAAATTGAAAAGTGGACTTCGTGGAGGAAACTGGCTAGAAGGGTTCGCGTTCGGATGTTATGAAAAAAAAGTTGTTTTCGTGTGGTCTAAGTGGCAGCGTTCTTGTTTGACAAGGAAGGGGCAAAATACAGACAACCTGACGGTGTCCTTGGGCAGATTTTCCTTTCAGTTCGTTTGGCGCTCACGAATCATGGCACCAGTTAGAAAACCGATCAAGACACTGTAGGTTTGCAATTCAGGCAGAACTCTGTTTCAAACTTCTATTTGACTGGCTAAAGTTTTTTTTCGGGAACAGAGCGTCCTCCTGGTGAGAATATTTGGAAGTTCATGATATTCTTATTGCCTTAGTACGAATGACGCAATATAAAGCTTGCAGCCACTTCAGGCAATCCCAAACATGAAAATCATTTGCTATGGGCACAACATCTTGTGCAGGAGCTATATGTTAGAACTGAAGGCATTTTCTTAAACTCATTATAAAACTGTTTTAATCATAATTTAGTTCCTTCTAGCTGACAATTAGTAATAATTCTCTGCTAGAAGGTAGAAAATCAACATTTCAATGTAAGTATATTTTCATGCAAAGCTACTCTCCAAGACTTCTCCATTGAGTCTTGGGAGAAGACAGCAAGCGACAGAAGTAACTGGAGAGCAGCGATACACACAGGGACAGAACTGTTCAAAGCTGCTAGAGAGAGCAGGAAGGCAGATGCTAGGAGCAGACGAAAGGGACTTGTAGAGAAGAGCACCACACAGGAGTACTGTTGCCGACTGGAATCCTAGAAAATCTGCTAACTTTGTCATTGAAGAAAACGTTATTTCTGATTTTTCCTTTGAAGCCTGTCAAAAACGCAGGGAATGCCATTTCAGAAGGTTCTATTTTTTAAACTTTCCACAGGAGCATGCCCCCGGACATCCCCCACCCCACCCCCGAAACCTCACCTGGTCCCTCAAACAGTACAAAGAACGCCTCCATTCAAAACTTTGGCTATGGGCATGATTTGCAAATGGAAGCGATACATGAATACTTAGTGATGCCATTAATATTGCCAAAGCGATTGCGCGTTTTACCTTCTCAGGGACAGTACATGGGTAAGCTCCAGTGTTAGACCCTCATCAACAGTTGAATAAATTGCTGTAGCTAGACATGACGAAGTTTTCCTGTGTGCAAATCGGCCTGATTTGAACTGAGTGGGGTCTGTGGTAGAATGGCCTTGGGAACTTGTTAACCCTGGAGCCGAAGAGCTAGCCTGTCTAATCTCCAAGCAGGTCATACAATGGGAAGGCAGTGCCCATTGGCAATCGGGGGACAATGGACAATCTTCTGGAGTCTGGCCATTGAATACTGCCTTTGAATTCGTCACCGTATGATCTGCTTGGGGATTAAGCCTGTATACTACAAGACTTTGCCTTCGCAAGCTAATTGGCCAATTACGCTCTGCTCACAATACACCGCATTGACCAACAACAATCGTTAATTCACCGTGATTAACTGGTTAGGGACTTCGTACTGACTCTGGGTGGCACTATGATCAAACTCAAATCTGTCATAGCTAACATTTCAGGCTCGTCGGTTGCAGACAGGTGTATGTCACAGTTGTTTCTTCCAAACATATGAGGTGAAAGATAGTCTACAAAATGTATTTTTGTTGTTGCAATCTAGTGTAGCATGCAAGCTAAATTCATCTGTTTAAATGTAAAAGTTGTTGGGGAAGGCGTAATTTTGACGTTCTTGAACTATTTATATATATAACTCTATATAACTCTATATATAACTCTCTCTCTCTCTCT